GAAGAACAATTTTTACAGAAAATTTAGCTGCCGTACATATGAAAAGAACACAAATATCTTTCAAACAACCAATATATGTAGGAATGTGTATTTTAGATTTATCTAAAATGTTAATGTATGATTTTTATTATAATATTATAAAGAAAAAATATGGAAATAGAGTTAGATTGTTATATACAGATACAGATTCACTAATATTAGAAATAAAAACTAATGATTTTTATCAAGATATGAAAATTATGTTAGATCATTTTGACACATCAGATTATCCAAAAGATAATATTTATGGTTTACCTTTAGTTAACAAAAAAGTTTTAGGCAAGTTTAAAGATGAGTTAAATGGAAAAATAATGACTGAATTTATAGGTTTAAGATCTAAATTATATTCTCATCGAATCTTAGATACTGAAAAAGAAATTAAAAAAGCTAAAGGTGTTAAAAAAAATGTTGTAGAAAATAAAATATGTTTTAATGATTTTGAAAAATGTTTACTAACAAAAGAATCAAAATATGTTAAACAAAATTTATTTAGAACTAAGAAACATGATATTTTTACTGTAGAACAAAACAAAAAAGCTTTAAGTGTGTATGATGATAAAAGATTTATTTTGGAAAATGGTATTGATACATTAGCTTGGGGACATTATAAAACAAATATAGATAGAAATGATTTTGTAAACCATCTCAATACATTGATTAGAAATCAAAATCAAAAAGATTAGAAAAATATTTTTAATAGAACAATGTTAAAAAAAATTTTTTTACTAATATAAATAATAGAAATGGAAAATTGTAAAAAACTTTTAGATATGATCCAAAGGTATAAAAATATACTAAAAGAGTTATCAGAAATTGAATCATCTATGTATAATTTAGAAACTCATGTATCATCTTTATATCAATCTTATGATAATAAGTATAGTTACAATCGTTACAAAAACAATTTTAAGAAATTATTTGATTATTTTAAGAAAATTCATAATGAATTATCGAATCATATAATGAATAATTGGTTTGAAATTTAATATTCACTAGTTTGTTGTTAGACTTTTTTTAATAGAACAATTCTATTAAAAAATATTTTAATTATTATTACATTTCGATTTTAATTATTAATATCATAAGTATTATGAAAAATATTTTGGGGGTGAAAATGTATTTAATAAGTTTTGCGAAAAATGTTTTTATTATTATTGCATTTCGATTTTTTTTATTATTATTGCATTTCGATTTTTTTTATTATTATTGCATTTCATAAGTTTTGTGAAAAATGTTTTTATAATTATTGCATTTCGATTTTTATTTTTTAATAATTAAGTTTTGTGGAAAATATTTTTATTATTATTGCATTTCATAAGTTTTGCGAAAAATTTTTTTAATTATTATTGCATTTCAATTTTCTGATCTTTTTGCACATTGTTTTCTTTGTGATCTTTTACTGATATATTATGAGGTGCGCCAGGACTGGTACATATATACTACTTGTAGGTGTTTGAAAGAGGATTGAAATAGTCCAACTCTTCTTTAATTTTTCTTCTCTTTGTCCGACTACTGAGAGAGACGGATTTCTTCATGGTATAATATAGATTTAAACAGGTATTTCTACAACAAATCAATTTTTAGAAATAAATAATAAATGGTAGGTAGGACATTCAACTGTTTGTTACCAACAACACAATAGTCTTATAAGTCAAATGTACCAACAAAAAAAATTTAAATTATTTAAGTACCTAATAAAATAACTATTGACTACTAATCACAAAAATATTTATTAAAATGTAAATTGTTTAATAATTAAACATTATACAAATACCAATGCTTATAACCAGGGTATAGACACTCTGTGTATTGGCAAAATCGGGTGACTGTGGCCTTGAGCACGGTCTCTAAGGGGCCGTTAGGTTATCAAAAAATACAAAATATTTTATTCTGTAAAATAAAAACATAAAACTTCATTCTTACAATATGTAGATATGATTGAATAAATTTATCGACAAATCAAAACCGAAAAAAAAAACAAATAAAAACTTACATTCTGCAGTTTAGCAAACTATTTAACAACAATATTTGATAAATGTCAAAATTTAAAAAATATTTTTAATAATCAAAGTAATAATAAAGTTATTGTAGCATACAATAAAAAAAAAAAAACTTTAAAACATTGGATTTAGATAATTGGATACAAGTATACAACAGTTAATACAAATTATTGCATAATATTATGTTAAATAATGCTGATCCACCATTTATAGAAAATAGTCAAAAGAAAAATGTAATCTAATAAAATACAATCGTAGTCTGAAGTATTTAAAATTAATTATAAATTCGTTTTAAAAACCTTAGCATAAATATTAATCGCGACTATTCATATTTTATATTCTTCATTATTCTTTAATAAATAAGTAAGTAAACACTACTATATAATATTATTAAATACGTAAGTTCTTACCTTTTTGAATAAACTTTGAATTTTAGGCGTCTTAGAAATTATTATCAGTTTATCTTTTTTATTTTTTTCCTCAGCTCTTTTGCGAAATTCAGCACCACTTAACTTAATGCGTTTTCCACTCATATTGATTGATGAAAAACTGCTAATAGGGAATATTAATCCCGTTTTTTTAAATTTTAAAGAAATATGACTTTACATTTGACGAGACTACGAGTACGTTCTACTACTACGAGACTCGAAAGACGAACAGATAACCGAGCCTATAATTATTATTATATTTACGCGGCGTGTGTATTATATATGATATATGACTATATGATTACGTACATAATATTAGAATCAGATTTATATTGTTAAATAGTTATTTAAGAAATAGTCACAGCTCGCTACACCTCACCGCCCTTTCAAAGGTTTTTGTAGGGCTACAAAAAGCTTTAAAATTTTACATAGATAAAAGTTAAAATTGGTTCACATAAGTTACATAATTCATAAGTTTACAGATAAATAATTCATTGTCTTACCATGACAATTTACATGATAATATTTAGTTACAATTTTTTTTAAATTACTCGACTAGAGTATTACACATGAATAGTTTGATACAATAATGTTACATATTATATTATAAAATTTAAATACAAATAAAAATATTGTTAGTCATTTTGATTAAGGGGGCTGGAGCAGGTACAAATTATCACGTAAAACAGGCCAAAAGCTAGACAAAACTGTGGGACTTGGGTTTGACGGATTTTAATTTTGAAAACCAATTTAAAATCTTCAACAACTCTTCTAAAGCATGGCCGTGGAAATTTATCATTATTACAAAAAATAATGGTGTACTTAAATATATAAAATACAATTTTTTTAAATTGTCAATATTTTATCGAATAATTTTTATAAAGAAAATCCCCTCGACCATTCCCTAACTAACATAATGACTAATTAATATCCATTTTCAAAATAAAAATCCGACTTATCCAACTCCCACAATTTTGTCTAGCTTTTTGGCATTTTTGTCATTTAAATAGTGTGGTGTTTATTTGACAAAATCTATAGCATTGACAAGTGCCTGCGAGTGCGGAAATGTATCGGCTCGGCGAATTTGGCGATAGGTACTAATTGAAAATAAACTGCCATCATATTCCTGGAATATTATGTAAGATAAGAAAACGTGCGCCGGCGGCGGTGGGCACAATATAATAATAATTAATAAATTATCAACTGGCTCAACTGTTCCGGTCCGCCACCGGTCGTTGGTACTTATTATTCTACTCGGAGTAAAAGTAATATTCTAATTTTGATTTTTCGAATTTCGAATTTCGATAAGTCAGACGTCTGCTGTTTTTTGAAACTAATTTGCAGTCCTTAGTGAGAGATTTTTTTTGTGGAATAAATATTTGATATCTTCGATAGACAGTAAAAAAGACTGGCGTTATGGAAAAAAAAACTAAAACTCTTTTATCCAAAAAAAAAAGAGGAACAAAGGAAATATTAACTCCCTAAATAGATTTAAAAAAGTAAGTATAAAATATATTACAAATCTATTGTATTAATTAACTATTGGATGATATTATAATCATACCGAAAATTCTAAATATTAATTCAAAATATATGCTGATATTTGTATTTGGATTTTATATTTGAATAATTAAATATTGATATAACTCCTGAGATGATGAACATGCTCTAATAATATTAGTTAATTCATTTTTAGATTCTGAGCGGAGGCCATAGGCGCAAATTGACTAAATTTTTTGGGGGGGACTCAAGCCCCCCCCCTCCACAAAGGTCTTAATATAAGTAAAACAAATGTTGGAGGGAAATGCTCTCCATAAAATCCCCCACCCACTGAGCAACTATCGTTACGGATATATAAAAATACAAAGTATTACATTTTTAGAATATATTTATTTTAACAAAATTCTCCGTTCTTTTTCGGCAAATACATTTAAAATATCTTCTGTATTTATATTATTATCCCTTATTCCAATAAATATTAAAATATAACCTAACAAGTAAGTAATAAACATATATCTTAGTCCGTGGACCGTGATAACAAATAATAATTATTAATGATAACAAAATGCTCCGTTCAAAAATTGGCGCGTAAACCGTCGATTGTGGATTTCAACAGCAACCACGGCATTATTCTTTGGCTATAGATACTATAGCCGTGATCGTGACACAGCCCTCATAGTTTAGCAAATATAAATTACTTATCAGTTATCGGTTATCAATTATCAGTTCAGGGGCGCCCGCAGAAAATCAGCTCAGTGGTTGCAAAATTAAATTTATGTTATACATACTTATGTACTCACATAATTTAGGGCCAAAAGCCGTTCTCCTAAAAATGATAAGAAAAAGAAAAACGAGCATATCAAATAGTATCTCATACCAACCAAAACAAAAGTAAATATTCCAAATAATAATTTAATATCAGTTCGTGTGACAGCCTGTTAAAATACATTAATTATTTATTCGTTTTCTTGATCTTTAATTATTTATTAATTTTCTAAAACTTAACTTCACTTAAAGGACCAACTCAGCGAATATGACTTTCAATGGTATTGATGCACTACGCGACCACGATTACTTACCAAGTATTATTTATTTCTATATATATGTATTAAACATTTTTTTCACACCTTTTATAAGCAGATGTACTCCTTATTATTTAGTGGTTTAAGTGTTAGAAATGGGAGGGGACATGTTAGGGACATAAGGGGCATCATATTTAATTTAAGGGCCGTTCTTACGACGTCCGGTTAAAGTTAACCGACACTTAACCGGAAGAATTCTGCCGGTAATAAAATCTGTTATCAGTCGGTTAGCGTTAACCGACACTTTACCGGACATTGTAAGAACGGCCCTAAGTCTCCTAAGTCTAAGGGAATAAAACAACTCGGAAACGCTACTATACCTAGCCAAAACAATATATTTTTTTTTTCTGTGCTATTTATAGTTTATTTAAGTGAATATCAATTATATAAGTACATCCTCAAGTAATTATTAGTTATTACAAAATGCATTGTACATAGTTTCAACATAAAAAAAAAATACATTCAAAATAACACTTTAAATATTACTTAATTTCCTCTTAAATTAAATCCACTTGTTATTTTCATCGATTCAGATAATGAACTGCAGTATGAAGAGTTGATGGATTTCAACAGTTTTGAAGAGGAGGAGGAAGAATGTGTTATTGACGAAGAGGAGGAAGAAGATGATATTGAAGAAGATAACAATGGTATTTTATATGAATTATTGATATTGTTAGTTCTGCAGGATACCAATATGAATTTTATATGATAATTCAATTAATGTAAAATATTATTTTTGTACCAGGTCAACTGGCAAATATCCAGCGTCAGCGAGCCGAAACATTTACGATTTTACCTGGTGTCAGAATAAATTCAGTAGTATTTATGGATAACTTGTATTATAGGTATTATAAAAATGGTGCAAGGAACGATAAAACGTAAGTAAGGATTTAGTAAGCTAACAGATGTTACCAACATAGCTTATACATTTAAATAAATAGTTTATGAAATATAAATGATTCATTGCTTACTAATTTTGTATTATAATATTATTTATTAATTATTTTATTGCTATGTAGATATTTAATTTGTGAAAATCAAAAGACTGTTGCGGTGCATTGTCCGTCAACAGCTTGGGTCAGGACTATGGACATAAAAAAAGGGAATGGTGATATAATGACTCGGGTTCAACACAACCATTTCCCTCCAAATGTTGACATTCCAATGGTGCATTTACGAAGAGCTATTGGTCTAGCTGGAACAAGTACCGGCAATTTGGCTACTTCAATCCGACAAATTTATAACCGAGAAGTTGTGTTGTGAGTAATCTGGATAAACATTATATGTTTTTAAAATGTTTGTAATTATTAGCATAAATAAGATTAAAGTTTTAATTGTACAACCTTAACTGTCTTAGAAATCCAGAAGGTGCACAAAACTATACACATTTACAGTCCCGGTTTTGTCTGAATAAAATGCGACGTCGTCGTCGTCCAAAAAATCCAACTACCATTGAACAGTTAGCACATATCCTGAATGAACCAACCACATCAACATCATATATTTCAACCCTGCAGCGCCTTCTTCAAGGTTCATGAAATAAATTTCAAATATTTATTATTTACTTACTATTATTTATTATTTTATTTAGATTTTTTCAACATGGTTGTCCATTGATAGTAGATAGAGAACTAGTTGGAGTAGTATTTGCTAATACAGATGCCATTGGAAAATATAGTGGAGAACTACTCCAATCAATTACCATCGCAGGAGTAGATGGGACTTTTAAAACTGTGCCAAGAAATCCTCCTGATTTGAAAAAAAGGCTGCCTGCTTACTTTTCATATAGTTTACAGAAATGTGGTAAGTTATTTTTTTAAACTATTAATTGTATATACAATTAATATGATTTTTTTTACCCAGTCTTTTCCAATGGTGTATGCATTGACTACAAGAATGACACAGTCCACATATGAGTCCTTCTTTAGAGTTGTACACCAGATTTTACCTCTGAACTACAACCAGTTAACCATAATAACAGATTATGAACGAGGTTTGATGAACGCAGTAAGGATTGTTTTGCCTCATACAAAGCTTCAGGGGGCCTATTCTTGAAAGTAGTAGAACGATAGTCGTATACGAATATTTGTACTTTTTCTACTACTTTGACAAAACCGTATTCTTGAACGCCGGTCGTATACGAACGGATTCTATTCTACTACCGGATTCTACTACGAACGGGTCGTGTGGTGTATCGTAGTAGAATCCTATTATTCGTATACGAATAATCATTTACGCTGTAATGGCGCCCGATTTAATTACGCATTTATATGAACCTAGTACCAAAGCTAATACACTTTTTAATTATATTATTATTTATACCAATATTAATGTATTATATATTATATTTCACACATTTTTTTCTAATACATATGATCATTATAAAGTTAAACAACATTATGTACCCACCTATGATCAATATAAAATTAAGCAACAGTACCTATATACTAAAATATACATATATTATGTGAAAATATAGAGTACCTATAAGAGGAGTAATAGATAAACATTTTACGAGGTACTTGTACCACTCCCACTCTAAATTTGATTTTTATGTAAGTATTAAAATACTCCAAGAGATATTCCTGCTTCAGAATATAATATTAATATATATTTTTTTATTAAAATCAAGACTCGGCTTTGTCATTGGCTGACATTATATTTGAATGTGTTACGTTCAAGTAAATAAAAAATTACGATAAAAAATGGTAAAAAATATAATTTTTTAAAAAAGATTATTTTGTAACACCATATACAAGCTATATAAAATAATATTTTCAAAAACGTTAAAAGTTAATAGTTTTTTGATATAGTGAGTAGTTCATGATACAATGATCATCCTGTATAATAATATAACTGAAATAACTATAATTTATTATGGTGCATTCCGATATTAAGTATCTACTACTTATTATGACCAAGGGGGACGAGGTGGCCGAGCGGTCCAACGCGTCAGCTGCGGCGCAGCCGATCCGGGTTCAAGCCTTGGTCACCCGGTGGCATTTTTCTTCGGGCAAGTCACGGTGTCCGGAGAACAAGTGCCGCCATCCCCCACCCGGGCATGGCAGATACCTACGGGTGCCCAATCAAAAATTCTGCCCGACACTCACGTGTAAAAAAAACCTACCATTCCAAACCTTACCACCACCACAATACAACCCTACAAACAGCTAATGGCCATAGAAGCCGGGCTTATAAGGATCAATTAAAAAAAAAAATTATTATGACCGAATAATAGGTAGGTATTTACCTATATAATTATATATATAATGTATTAATATGTATCCCTTAATATTTAATAATAAGGTTTATTAAAATATATTAATCACCTTTTATTTATGATTATAATTATTTATATACAATATGCATCAAACACATTACGATATTAATTTATTTCTAACTTAATTATGTTTTGAAAGTTAAGATAATATATATTAAAAACTAGTTGATTATATCTAATACACTGCATATCATATTATGTTATGATTTAGGGATTATTTAATTAATAACAAAAATATTTCGGGAAGTACCTACTAAAACAGAAATGCTTAATTAATTGTCGACTTAATGTTATTTTTTTTTAAAAATGTTTTAAAATATGTTAAGTGATTAATTTAAATTAATACTAGAGCTATTTTCTTAAATATGTACCTACAGTGATATTTGATTATGGGGTAAATATTTTTATTTTAGATATTTTCTTAAATTTTTCTTAAATTTTATTTTCTTATTGCGTATTTTTATAGAAAGTTAGTTAAACATTGTCAATAGTTATATAAATGGTAAAAATATATCAATGGTAAAATATAATGTAACAAATAATAATGATTGCTTAGCTGGTAATAACAGTTAATAATATTAAATTTAATGTTTTAGAAAAATTAAAATTGAATGTATCATAAATTGATGTATTACATATTGTGATAATTTAAATTAGATGTATTTAGTTCATCACATTAGGAATATAACTAAGTGTCCTTGATTTGATATTTTGTTTTTAAGTTATTAAAAAATTTAAAATAGGTACTCTACAAATCTATAAGCAAGTATATAATAGTATTATAATATTATTATATACATCCCCCCGTCTGTATGAACATTTGTTCATTCTTTATAAAGGAAAATAAATATAAATATTCATAGAAATTTTTTTTATAATATTGTTAATAATTATAAGGCCTTACAATAGTACTAATGAATCAATTAGTTAGTTTGGTACTACAAACATAAAGGTACTACATTAAGTATTTTGCAACATAATATGATTTAATTATTTAATAATGCAATTACCTATACATTTATAGTTTATACCTAAATTAGGGCATATATATTTAAAAATGTAATATTAAGGTATAGGTATGAGTAATCCATCGATTACAATTTAGAGCCTTTAACCTACAATTCATTGAAATAACTACAATGAAGGGATACATTTGTCTTATTATTTAAGTATTGATTACTGTAAATTGTTATATGAGAGATTTTATGACAATGAGCTCAAATTGGACATAGATTTTACCATATTATCTATATAGATACATGTTGAGAAATTCTTAGTTATTATACATTTTTTTCTAAATTGTATTGATATGGGATATTATTGTTTAAATCTTTGTGTAAATATTGTTAAATTAAGTTAATTTGTTAACTTTAAATTTCATTGTGTAGTTGTATCATATTATGCGTAACTATTCCAATACCGAATTAATATTATTTTTTTTTTTATATTTTAAATGTTAAGTAATTAATTTAAACTAATACTAGAGCTATTTTCTTAAACATGTACCTACAGTGATATTTGATTATGGGGTAAACATTTTTATTTTAGATATTTTCTTAATATCTTATGTTAGAATTTCTGTTTGTTTCATCAATATTTATAATATAATACAAACTTCAATTATTAAGTATCAATTATTACTTTTCGCCATTCATGCCATTCTTTGGACGGTCCGGGATGCTGTTCAACATAGTTTGGCATTCCACCCACATTTTTTTTGCTATAGCTGTTGTGAAATTTATGGAAAACTTTCCTTTCCTTAGATCGGGGTGGTTTTCCATAAATTCTACCAAAGCTTCTTTCTGTGCCGGTGTTATAGACTTTCTCGCCATCGTACAAAAAAAAAACAGAAGTAAGAAAAAAAGAGAAACAGGGATCGAGAACGGAAAGGTCGCTATAAAAAAAAAGAGTGTAATATTGAAATATTATTTTGTATTTTGAATTTCCACGAATTGCGCGTGCTCATAAAAATTTCGACCAATGAACGGACGGCATTGCGACGTTGCCGTTCCGCACCATTCGAATAATATTCGTGCACGACCAGTTCTATTACCAACTATTCTATTGGCGTTCAAGAATACGGTTTTGAGTTGGTAGTAGAATATCTACCAGTAGAATGGTTCGTATACGACTACCGTTCAACTACTTTCAAGAATAGGCCCCCAGGGGTGTTGGTTTCACTACTGCCAAGTGAGTCGATCTATGATTTTTGAGAAACTGAGTACCTATATAATAAAATATGTTACTTTTATTAATGTATTCACTCATATAAATGTATTATTAATGTATTGAGTATTCACTAAATCAAATTATATAGTCTGTTATCCGGTACTGCAAAAGGAGCATGAACGGACTATTTCATCTATTTCAGACCAGTGTTGAGGCTGCTACAGTTTTACGCATGGTAATATGATATTATGATGAAACATTTTTGTTATTATTAAATTTTCCTAAAATTAGTTTCGATTAAATTCAATTTGGGTTTTTAATTTGTAGGTGTTAGCTCTACCTCATCTTCCAGCAGAATCCCAAATTAATTGCAATTTTACAATGCTTGATGGTTTTCAAATAATCGTAGATTATGTCAACCAACAACCAGATATTCGCGAACGCCTACAAGCATTTCTATTTGGCTACATCCAAGATTTTTGGTTCATACAAATAACTGCTGCAAACATAAGTGTCTTTGGGTTAGAATTCTTACAAAATATCATACACAGTTTATTTTCATTTGTTGTAATATATTTTAGGTCAGAAGTTCGAACTAACAATTATGTCGAGTCTTTTCATGCCACACTGAAGACGCAGATTGGAAAACATCCCAATATCTGGGATTTCATGCGTATATTTAATTTAATTATATATTCATGTTTGTGAATATTGTTCTATTGATTTGTTTGTATTACAATGTATTAATGTGTTTCTATGTGAATGGGCATTGCCGATTTGACACAGAGTAAGTATACTAAACAGGTAATGTTATTAAGTGTCTATCAAGAATTGTGAATGCTGTACTGCATTGTTAATGAGTATGGTTCTATGTAAATGAGGTATCACCGATTTTCAGACACAGAGTAAGTATACTAAATAGGTAATGTTATTAGGTATCTATCAAGACTTGTGAATACTGTGCTACGTTGTTAATGAGTATGTATGTGTTTGTGTGGTTATAAGACTATTCGTCCTAAACATAAGGTCCTATACCAATTTTTGTTTTCAGTTATGTATAGAGCGAGGATTTTTATGCAATATAAAGTGTAAAAATATGCCATATAATTGCAATATAATTCAAAACTTTGAATTGTGTAATATTAAACAAAACATTTATTGGACTACAAAAATTAGACGAAAAATATATTGGCTTATAGCCTTAACGGACCGAAATTGTACCATTTGTGTACTTAATATATTATAAAAAATAATTGCTGAAGGTATAACTTATTTATAAATTAGTTCATATAATATAATAAAATGTCAAATGAATTATTTTTTTTTCATATGGTGCTTTTTGTCTGGGAGTGGCCTAATTTGGAAACATGCTTGGCAGAATTTGTATTTGGTATAATTACCATCTAGCTAATAATGTATTTAGATTATTTGTATTAATTGAAGACTTACTGTTATTATAGAGAAACTATTGATAGTTGAGAATCAATATTATTTGGAAATGGATCAAGTTCGCAGGCATCTCCAGGTAAAAGCTTATGAAATTTTATTCTGAAATCAAAATACCTATATATTATTATTATTTAAATACATTATAAATTGTAAGATGTATCTTAAAAATATTTTCAGATCAGATCTCATCTATCTCAGATTGATAGAGCAGAAGTTACCAGTACTATACAAAACTATGTTGGTATACTTAATGAGAATGGAGATTTATCCATGTTTTTACGAAGAGCAGGCCATCTTATGGATGGTTATTATCGAAAACAAGTTCGACCGCAACCATTGGTATACTTATGATTTATATTTTATTTGAATACCTACTTATGTTGACTCATTATGTTTTTATTAGGAACAGTAATTAATGTGTTTGCCACTAGCCAGTAACTTTTAATATGACTTGAAACAATTTTATTCATACCAATTTTATACCATACCAATTTTATTTTTATAATGTTTATACACAATTACTTGTAAATAATTTAATGTATACCTCTTTTATTATTATAACTTTTATATGAAATTACTTATGAACAATTTAATTTATACAACTTTTATAAATAATGACTTGTAAATATTCAAGGCTGTTAACTATTATTTTTAACTCATCAAATGTGTAGGGGATAGTAAATAGTTATAAGTTACCCTTATGAATATGTAATATTATAACCATTAATTTTTTTTACTTATTATATTTATATTAACAATTAAATATGTACTACTTAGTACCTACTTTATATATATATATATCACTGTATAAGAAAAACGATTCTGAGCCAGGACAGTCAGTCAGCCTATGATATTACTAAATATATTTGATGATATTATTGTGAATAAAGTAATTTATAAATAACCTATTTACGTGGAACCTTGTTTTAAATTTTCTATCCATAGCTATAAAAGTTTATTGCTATTTTAGTTAGTCAAAGATTATGATTGGAAACTTACCAGAGTTGTTGAGAGAATTTGTGTTGCTTTCTTCAAAAGGTATAACCATTGCAGGATAATCCAAACATTTTGAAACTCCAAGTTTGATGGGTGTGATTTCTATAGAGTAAATGCAGTTTTAATTTTCAAATGAAATAAATTTTACACAAATGTTAATTTTCTTACTATTATTATCATCATGATGAATAACAACAATAATTGGTTCCCTTTGTTCTTCGGAAGACTTGTTCAACTAATAAAAAATATCGGTATAATAAATATAATTTATTATATTCATATAATTTTGTACTCAAGATTAATCAAAAATCATAAAAACAATGTTAGGTGAATACGGTTTATCTATGTTGCGCATGGGTCTGAGAGAGAAACAAATATTGCGTTGATATTATCTCAAGTTACCTAAATGTTCAATAATTATTTTATTAAATATAATTGAATAATTAATAACGAATACGATTAGTAAAAGTCGTATATTATTATCCAAATGGTAGCGACGCGAGTATGCGACGATGCCTATTGCATATACAATCATGAAAAATTATAATTTGTCATGTGTACAATTTAAAAGTGAAAATGTAAAATTATCAGTATCGTCGGATCGTATTGTTTTCAAATTGCATGTACAACATATAAAAATAAAACGAAATAATTGATTGCTAGCGTCAGCGTTCATGCGATAACACTAAGCATCGACCGAGAATAGGAATTATTAGAACTATTATTAACCATAAGTCTATAACGCTATTTATAAAATATATTATTATGCAATATCTCAAAAACATATTATAACTTTATGAATTTAATATTTATGAATTATTTTTTTTCAATTTAACTACATACTAGCAACATACCTAGTTTTCATGACGTAATCGCGGGGCCCTAAAATTCGCGCGGGGGCTAGGACAAATATCCCAATTGACCTACCCTATATAGGGCCGGCCCTGAACTTACCCATATCGATGCATTGACTTTCATCATCTTATGATCAATTTAAGACATTTCTATGTCATGAGTCAATATTAGATGGAAATTCTTCAAGTAACCATTGTTCCAATTCGGATGTTTTATCCATTTTAATATATTGTAAAATGTTATATATTATAGCAAATATAAGTATAAATATAAAATATTAATCTCAATATAGGAAAATGCGAAAACGGATTAACAAATAACAATATTTAAACAACAGATATACATTATTAAGGCGATGGTACATATATAGGTACATACACGACAGCCAACGACTAAAGTGAAATTAATAATTATGAAATAGCATTATGATTTAGACCCGACGCCGCCGACGGTACTTTTGAGTCCATTGTATATTATAATCAGATTTTTCCCCTCTTTTAATATATCGATATTTATACAAAAACAATATTTATAGACACAATTGCAAACAATTCTAGCGGATAAGAATGCTAAAAATAATTTTTGTACGTGTTTAAAACCAGACTGAATACAGATAGTATAATTACATAATATAAATATATAATATTATGCCTGTCGCCAAGACTGCTATGCACAGTTACAACGTGCGGGCTGCGGGTTCAGTTTCAAAATAATCGATTGTTAGGAAATACAACAATAATTGAATATTGCATGAATATTAATTATTTGTGGCATTGCATACATAATATGACACTTATATGTCAATACTGAATACAAATACATAAAATATAAGTTTTATACATTTTTATGTTGGTAATGTCATTATGGTAACGCTGTAGGGAATTTATGTTTTAGTGTTGGTATACATGATCTGAACAAGTTTTTCTTTTTTTTTCTCAGCTCTTATCAGTTTTAAGAGAACGGCTACACACTCCATAATTTACATTATAATACAATAATTTTTTGGTTGATTAAAAAAATCCCAGTGGGTGCAATGGCACCTACTGGCCCCTCTCTGCGGGCGCCCCTGTATCAGTTTGACCACGAGGCACGGACTAAGATATGTTATAGTATTTTTTATAAAGATTTTAAAAAAAAACTAGCATAATAATAATTTTTTTTCAATAATTGTATTTTGTAATTTGGTTAAGTTTTTAAAATATATACATGTTTAGTACTACAGAATATAATAATAAGTACTAATTACTAGATTTTGAACTGGGGGGACTTGACCGAAATCTTGGGGGACTAAGTCCCCCCCAAGCCCCCCCCCATTTTGCGCCAATGGCGGAGCGAAGAATGTATTGATTTTACTATGTTGTGTGTTTTTTTTTTATAAAAGAAAATAAAATTTTATTCGTTGGGTAAAAAAGCTTCAAAATTTGATACAAGACTTCTAATATATTGTCACAATAGTAGTTAAAAAATATTAAAAATACATAGTCATAATTTTTTTTAATAAGTATTGAAAGTTCGAATTTTGACAAAATACGTAAAAATCAAGGAAATTTGAAATTAATTTTGAGTTAGAAATTCATAAAAATTCTTCTTTTTAAATCTAAGGTTTGAAAATTCTATACTAAATTCTTCATGAGTTTGTCTACTTTTATCAAATAAAAAATTTCTACCGAAAAGTCAAATTAAACTTTTATGAGCATTTCAATTAAAATATTAGATATTTATTATTCTTATTTTGTTGTTATATATAAACAAATAATTGTAGAAACTTGAAATTTACACCAAATATATATTTCATCAATTCTTATACTTGATATAATTTTCAAAATATTTCAACAATTTTTAAGTTATTTATAGACGTTTGAAATTTTCCGTTTTTTTAGTTTTTTATTCTATAAACGTCAATAAAATACATAGGCACGATTTTTTTTTATAACCATTTAAAGTTCAAATTTTGACAAAATTTGTTTAATTGAAAATTTACAAATTCTTTAGTTGTTAAAAATTTATAAAATGTTTAACTTTAATAGCTGTGATTCTACGTATTTTGTCAAAATTTGAACTTTAAAAGCTTATAAAAAAATTGTGATTATGTATTCTTATTATTTTTTAAGTGCCATTGTAGCAATATATTAGGAGTACATTGAAGCTTATTCACACAAAAATACAATTTTATTGACATTTATAGAAAAAAAAAAAACGAAAAAAATTGAAAATTGAAAATACTTTTAAAATATTTGAATTATTTTGAAAATTGTATAGAGTATAGAAAATGTCAATATAAACAGTCAGTGAAAATTGCATGGAACTAAGATAATTTTTTTAGTCTTACACCGACACCCAAAATCGATTTTTCGTAAAAATTACCGTTTTTCCTTATTTTATTTTTTATTTTTTCTGGCCCTTTTGAGCTGTTTACGGACATTTTCATTTTTCAATTTTAGATACTGAGCGGAGCGATGAATGTATTGGTTTTACAATGATGTATGTTTTTATATTTTTATTTATACTTTTATTTATATTTTTATATTTTTGTGTCTGTCATCACGTTTTAGGACAGTAAAAGTGCTTCGATTTTCTTCAACAGTACCTTTTCTGATAGGAAAGTGAATCTAGTTGGTACTTTGGGGGGGTCAAAAGTAAACATTTCCCAGTAGTTTTCACAAGCGCCGGGAAAAACAACATAAAAATTAAGGAAAAACGGGAATTTTTACGCAAAATTGGTTTTCCAAAAAATCGATTTTGGTTATTGGTGTAACTCTAAAACAAATGAACGTATATACATGAAATTTTCACTGGTTGTTAATATTTGCATTTTCTATACACGATAACATTTTCAAAATATTTTGATTTATTTTGAACTGTTTAGGGACATTTTCATTTTCCATTTTTTTTTAATTTTTTTCTAAAAATATCAATAAAATTTTATTTGTTGGTTGCGAAAGCTTGAAAATTTAATAGAAGGCTCCTAATATGTTGTTTCAAAGGCAGATGAAAAATATTAAAAATCCTTAGTCACAATTTTTTTTTATAAGCATTTAAAGTTCAAAAATTGACAAAATATGGAAAAATCACGAAAATTAGCAAATTATTTAGAGTTAAGAATTCGTAAAAATTTTTCTTTTTAAATCTAAGATTTGAAAATGAAACACAAGATTCCTTATAAGATTATCTACCTTTATCAATAAAAAAATCTCTACCGGACAGTCAAATTAAATTTTTATGAGCGTTTGAAATTCAAATTTTTACAACATTGGATTTTCACTCGATTTCTCATGTAGCGATTTCCTTATTTTGTTGTAATTCAAAAACGAATAACTGTAGATACATGAAAATTTCACTGAATGTTTATATTAGCATTTCCTATACACCATACAATTTTGAAAATATTTTGACTCTTTTTGAGCTGTTTACGGACATTTTCAGTTTTCAATTTTTTTAGTTTTTTTTTTATAATTGTCAATAAAATTTTATTTGGTGGGCCAAAAATTTAATACAAGCTT